GGTAGTTATATGATTAATACAATATGTTTCCCCATTGATTGCATAATAATAAATTTGTTGTTGGAGTACTTTAGGTGTATTCGTTTGTCCCACAGTATTTTAGGTTTATTTCTATCCAAGTGACTTGATACCAGAATTACCATACACATGTGCCTAGACCCTTGACCATGCTACCGAAAGAAGGACCATGCTACCAAAAGAATGTCCATGTTACCAAAATAATAGGTGATGGAACTGAGTAAGACTAAGAGAAGTAAGTAAGATGAGGGTGGTGTAGATGCATAAAGAGGGAACCCGTGCCCTTGCAGTGTGATGTAGTATTTTAGGTTGGGTTTCATGTGTGTTTGTGATTTATGGACCAATGGAAATGTGTTTTGATGACTAACTTGAAAGTGCATTAAATGTGAGTTTTGTTAATGCATTATAAATTAAGAAGCAGGAAGTGTTTGTGGTGTAACTTTATTAGTAGTTGTGTTGGTACTAATTTTGTTGTATATATTTTAGAGGCGCTGTTGTGATTGTTGTTGGGTAATCTTCATGAGCCATTGACTGAAGATGTATGTACTAAGAGCCAGTGCAGCTGTAAGTATTGTTTAATGTATGGTATTGAGGAAGAGTGATTAATTGTAGGTTCCAGGAAGATGTTCTAGTAATTGTAACACTACAGTGGATGTTCCCAATGATATATGAGAGTACAGTAGTTGTTATTTTGAAGCATCCTGTCATAAGTTTAGTGTGTGGTAAGAATTTAAGTTATTACAGTGGAATGCATTTGTAGGAAGACTTGTATAGTAATATAAAAATAATAAGTTTACTATGAATGTCATGGTAGTTTTAGATAGAATAGATTGAATTATTTGATTAGTATGCAATGTGTCTGTGTGTGTGTAAAATGGTGAAAGACTGGAGCAAAAGTGGTATTTTGTTCTTAATAATGTATAGCCCTAAAGTTGTGTAATGTAATTTTGATTTTGTAGGTAAAATGGGAAGAGAGGTGGTTGACCTCGTATGGTGAATGGCGACTGTGGTTTGGCAAGTGTTGTAACGGTTTGAAGGAAGGGACGGACGATTACTTGTGTGGCGGAATTGCAGTGTGGCAGCATTGGTTTTATATTTGTTAGTGTAATTAAAATCCGAGTATATATTTATGGAGAATCTACATAGGGCGATTATGAATGATGTTCCCAATTTTCGAATGGTAAAAAACGAAGTGTCCCCACAAAGGTACTTAGGTAGAGTACTAAAGTTTGTATTAGTGTACTTTGTAGGTGTGAGATTGAAAAAGAATTAATTTGTGGGTGTACGTAAATGAGTTATGGTTGAGCCTGTTTTTCACCTTAAGGAAAGTGTAAAAACTATTAAGTGTAGAAATAAGACTTGGTTGGGTAGAAATGGGAATTGCTTATACATTTTGTTGTATCATAGTGAAGTTAACGGGCTTACTTGAGTAACTTAAAAATGTGTAAAGTTGCTGGTGGCATTGGTGTAAATATGTTGACAAAAGTTGAATAAGTATGTGGGGGGGGGGAAGGGAAGGGGTTAGGAGACTGTTGTGTACCATTGATGAACCCAGAGTTTTTAAGATATAAAATTGGGAAGATGATTTAGCATGAAATAGTTAGTGTAGGCGAATGTTAGGTGTGTTAAAGGTTGTGGGTTGTGAAGAATGGAGGGAGTGATGGCGAGCGATAGGAGTTTGTGGCAGGGTGCGTAGAGGTGACGAGTTATGGTAAGGTGGTGTAATTTGGAGTAAATAAACGGTTTGTTTAGTGAAAGATATTGTGAAGACTTGAATTGGCAGTAAATCGATAGGTTTAGCTGTGATTGTGTAATGTAAGTGAAAGAAATAGTGGAAAGTATGTGAAATGTATAAAAGGAGTTTATTTGTTGAAGTCCATGTAGGCCGGTTTGTTATGCAAGTGTTGCATGTTTAATTGGTTAGCTTAATAATGAATGGGACATGTAAAAATAGAATTTGAAATTGGAGGGAAAATGTTCCGTTGATCGCGTGTCTATAATATAGTTTAGTTTGAAGGTAAAGGTTGGTTAGTTGTGATTGAGTGAAAATGAAGAAGTGTGTCCATAGTTGAGTTAAGGGGCATTGTGTAGGTTGTGTATTGTATAGACGCGGAGGAGTTAGACTTGTGTAAGGTAGAAAAAAATGGTGGGTAATGTGTGATAAGTAGTTAAATACAAGGTATAATGTAAAAGAAAGTTGTGTATTGTAAATGGTGAAGTTTGGATGAAGGACGTAAAGATGTTTGTTGGTTGTAGTGTTACGTTAAAGTTAGCAATAGGGCAAAAGTGTAATTTGTTTTGTTAGTCGTGTTAAGAGATAGTATGTGAGTAAAAATAGTTAAGTGTGGAGCGTTGGGCGTGTTTCATAAGGACGTTGATAATGTGTATTAATTTCGGTGGGTATTCCTGTAGTTGTAAATGGTGGTATTATGTAAAGAAAATGAGTTATGAAAAGTTGTGTAGGAGAGACTGGAAGTGGGATATTGAATAGTTTACGGGGGAGGAAGGTGGCTGATGTTTGTAGTGAGTTTTAAGAGCAATTGCGTAAGTTATTGTCTGAAGTGTGTAAAAATTTTTAGTGTCTAGTAATAATAATTGTGTTGAATTGTAAATAAATTATGTTTGTTATTTCAGAGGTTTGGAGGAAGACGACGAAGGAAGGAAGGAAGTGTTCCGGAGAGGCGTATTTGTGACTTGAATGGATAATGTGTGGGGAGTAAATGGTTGACTGTATCTATTAAAGAAGAGTAAATTTAGGAGTAAAGTTAAATAAGTGGCGTTTGCATAATGGAGTTTAATTATGTAAAAGTTGAATAATGATGGGGTCTCCGTGTTTGTATTGGTTGTGTTCCCGAGGCTGTTTGTTGGTAGGCGAGAAGACGCATAACGTAATTAGAGATATATGAAGTGGCAGTACGATATGATAACCTAGTTAGTTATTTATATATATGAAATGTGTTAATTAAAGAGGGAAATGGATTGGTGAAATTGAATGTAAGTTTTATGAAGAAGGTAAATAAAATGTTGTACAGTTGAAGCCCGTTTTATCGGTGGGTGTCGGAGAAGTGTTCTGGTGGAATGTTTATATTGTGAATCCATGTGTAAAGTAATCGGTTTGTGTGAAATGTAATGAAAATGTATTTGGAGGAAAGTGAAGGTAATGGACTGCCGGTTTGTTTGTATGTAAGTGTGTTTTTGTGCGATTGAAATGGTATTGATAGTGTATGTTAATAAGAAGTTTGATTGAGGCAAGTTCGGGTAGAGGCAGAGTGTAATTGAGTTTTAAAATGAATAATTGGAGGGTTGTTAAGTATGGGTAATTAGTGTAAATAAAGAGAATTGTATGTTGGTTAGTAAGTTTAAATAAATAATTGTCGAGTGCCGAGAAGTAAGGTGATTGTTGTAGATGGACTAAATATTGGTGGGGGGGGAAGCGATGTATGTATATCGTTGATGGACGTTAGTTTGGATGGGGTAGGTGTTAGGGTAGTTTTGTGTAGATTTTTGGTAGGTTTGTTTAGGCTATAGGAAAGTGAAATGGGAAGATTGTGTGGGGTATACGTTGCAAGTGTATATTTGTCGTTTTAGGCAGGAGTGGTTTAGCAGAATGAAATAGTAATTGAGTGTATTTGGGAATTCGTGAAGCGAATTTTGAATGGAATGTGAAGCCGGTAGTGTTAGGGCGTGGGTGAAAAAGTGGATAGGAAATGGAGGAAGTGTGTATATTAAAAAGGTAAGTGTAGAGAGAAAGTTTGTGTATTTTGAAGATGGGTATATGTATTGTAATTGCACAGTATTTAGTAGAATTGCACAGTAGTGTTTTTCGAATTTGAGTATTTGAATAGAATTGGGAAAGAAAGTTTAGTAAATTGTAGTTTGAGTGGGAAGAGTGGAGGTGGGCATTGGCGGAGGAGTAATTATTAGGACTGGAGGGGAAGCCTGGGATAGTTGGCCTTGGATAGTTGGCATGGGTAGAGTAGTGTGGCACGGCACGGCACGGAGAATGGAGATTGTGGCGGAGTTGTTAGGAGAAAATGTGGGAGAAGCGTGGTCAGTGACTGGTGGAGTGAGCAGGGATTAGAGACGTGTGATCTGAACCAGACGTAGGCGTGGAGCAGAGACAAGAGAAGTTGAAGAAAGTGTGGTGGGCTCGGGGTGAAGTAGTTTTGTGTAATTTGAGTGGGTAGATTTGGCTATAAGTAGGAGCGATGACGTGGGAGTGGGAATTTGGGAGTGAAAGCATGTGTTTTAGGTTGGTAATAAAGCAGTGGTGTAGTTGATTGGAATGGGCAAGATGTGGTGAGTAAGGAAAGGCGAAGTTATGCGCATTAAAAGCGATGTTTTGTGCTTTAAAATGAGTAAAGGCGAATTGATGATGTTTAAATTGAGCAAAGGTGAAGTTGTTTGTGGTAAATGGAGTCGTTTTGTGTGTTAAACGTAGTAAAGGTGAAGTTGTGTGCGTTAAATGAAGTAAAGGAGAAGTTTTCAGAGTTAAATATAATAAAGGCGAAGTGGTTTGTTGAATGGAGTAAAGGCGAATTTTTGTACATGAAATGGAGTAAAGGCGAATTTTTGTGCATTAAATGGAGTAGAGGAGAAGTTGTGTGCGTTAAATTGAGTAAAGAAGTTTTTTTGAGTTAAATGTAGTGCCGGCTAAGTTCTGTGCATTTTTTGGAGTCAAGAAGTTTTTAGATTTTAATGTAGTAAAGGCGAAGCTTTCTGCATTAAATGGAGTAAAGGATAATTTATTCCGAGTTAAATGTAGTAAAGGCGAAGTTGAATGTGTTAAATGGAGTAAAGGAGGAGTTTTGTGCATTAAATGGAGTATAGGAGAAGTTGTGTGCGTTAAATGGAGTAAAGGATAATTTATTCCGAGGTAAATGTATAGGTGAAGTTCTCTAGATTTAATGAAGTAAAGGCCAAATTCTGTACATTAAATGGAGTACAGGAGAAGTTGTGTGCGTTAAATGGAGTAAAAATGGAGTAAAGGATAATTTATTCCGAGGTAAATGTATAGGTGAAGTTCAATGTCTTAAATGGAGTAAAGGAGAATTTTTCCTGGTTAAATGGAGCAAAGGATAATTGATTATGAGTTAAATGTAGTAAAGGCGAAGTTCTGTGCATTAAATGGAGTAAAGGAGAAGTGTTGTGAGTTACATGTATTAATGACTAAGTTCTCTGCGTTAAACGGAGTAAAGGAGTCGTCGTTTGCATTAAATGAAGTAAAGGCGAATTTTTCTGCATTAAAGGTGGCGAAGTTTTCCGAGTTAAATGTCGTAAAGGCGAAGTTGTCTGCTTTAAATAGAGTAAAGAAGTGTTTCCAGGTAAATGCAGTAATGGCGAATTTGTCTGCATTAAAGGGGAAGTTTTCCGAGTTAAATGGAGTAAAGGCCAAGTTGTGTGCGTGAAATGGAGTAAAGCAGAACTTCTTTTGAGTTAAATGTAGTAAAGTCGAAGTTTTCTGTTGTGAGGATTAAAGAAGTTGTTTGCATTAGAGTAAAGGAGAAGTTTTCGGAGTTGAATGTAGTAAAGGCGAAGTTCTTTGCATTACGTGAAGTAAAGGTGAATTTTTCTGCGTTAAATGGAGTAAAGGTGAAGTTTTTAAGAGTTGAATGTAGTAAAGGTGAAGTTCTCTGCGTTAAGAAGCAAAGGCGAATTTGTCTGCATTAAAGAAGTTATCCGAGGTAAAACAGTAAAGCCGAAGTTCTGTATTAAATAGAGTAAAGGTGAAGTGTTTGTTGAATGTAGTAAAGGCGAAGTTCTTTGCATTACGTGAAGTAAAGGTGAATTTTTCTGCGTTAAATGGAGTAAAGGTGAAGTTATGTGCGTTAAATTGAGTTTTTGGCGAGAAGAGAAAATGTTATGTTGAAAAAGTAATGTAAAAGAAAATTCCTATTTTTTTTCAGGTGAATGCGGTTGGATCGTGCAAGAGGTTTGTAATGGCCAAGTGGGTGTGATGGCCAGCTGTTGTTGACGAGCGCCTCTGTTACCCTGGATTGCGTCTTATAGTATTGTTTGTGCTCAGCAGAGCATTGTAGAGTATATGAAATATAGGTGTATTTGAGAAGATAGAGTTTTGCTTGTCCTTTATCGAGTGAGATGTGAAATAGAGTGGGTGCAGTAGAAGAAGGAAGGATTCCAGGATCGCCGTGAACATAGCGGGTAATGTAAAGTGTTGTTTTGTGTGAAGTAATGTATTTGATTGACATGTAATGGTATTTTGTGGGAAGTATTATATTGGATTGAAATATATTGGTGTTTTGTGTGAAATGTAATTATTTTACCGAAATGTAATGCTCTTTTTCTCTTTACTTGCAGGTACACGGGAACACATGTGGTGTTTTTTTCCTTTTACTTGCAGGCACACGGGAACACACGTGGTGTTGTAGGTACACGGGAACACATGTGGTGTTGGTATGTGAACCGAGAAAACTGAGTTTTCGAATTGAATTGGGGGACTTGTTCTTTGTTGTTGTAATATGCTTGCTTGCAAGGCAGAGCACTGCTCTGTGACACGATATCTGTGTCTTGGCAATCCACGACATAATGTAAACACTTACGTTATTGTTGCGGAGCCTTGCGAGTAAATTATATTACAACATAGCATAAAAACCATTTAGAACAAGTCCCCCTTTTCAATTCGAAAATTTGGTTTTTTTGGTTCACAAACACTTATAAAAGGAAAGGTATGGTATGTGGGCCGGGGCCTATCTTATTAAGATAACCGGTTTTGACAAACACCCCTCGGATTTTTTCTAAGTCCAAAATGGGCTAATTTGTAACTTAGGAAAAATAAAGAACTTGGCATTATGTTTACTTCTATTCTATGTCCATACACATTACAAAAATATTCTATGTCCAAAATGGGATAACTTGTGAAAAATAAAGATGTTGATATTATGCTTCCTTTTATTCTATATCCATACACATGATGAAAACATTCTATGTTCACAAAAGAAAAAAAAAATCAAAGTCCACAAGCATGGCAGAAATATTCTAACCACAAGCATGAAAGAAATATTCTAACACCACAAGCATGGAAGAAATATTATAAGTCCACACGCATGGAAAAAATATTGTAAGTCCACAAGCATGACAACAAAATACCAAGCCAACAAGATATAAATATTCCAATTCAAGTCCACACAGGATAAAACATTAAGTCTACATAGGATAAAATTATTCCAAGTCCACACGATAAGAAATATACCAAGTCAACAAGATAGAACTTATACTAAGTTCACATAATAAGAGACATTATTCGAAGTAAACAAAGCATCGGAAAATATTCTAAGTCCACATTCATTGACAAATATTTTATGTCCACAAAATTTCCAAACACCACACAGGATAAGACATACCAAGTCAATAATATAGAAATTATTCCAAGTCCACAAATGATGATAAATATTCCAAGTCCACATAAGACAAGAAATATTCTAAGTTCACATAGGATGAAAATACTCAAAGTCCACACAGAATATATACTAAGTTCACAATATACAAAATATTCTAGGTCCACATGATAAGACATGTACGAAGTCAACAAAGGATAAAAATATTCTATGTCCACACAGGATAAGACGTACTATACTAGTTCAACAACATAGAAACTATTCAAAGTCCACAAAGAGCAACAAATATTCAAAGGATCAAACAATATTCAAAGTCCACACAAGATATAACAAATATACTAACTTCACAATATACACATTATTCAAAGTCCACATTCATTGACAAATATTTTAAATCCACAAAATTTTCTAAGTCCACACAGGATAACACATACCAAGTCAACAAGATACAACTTATTACAAGTCCACAAAGGGCCAAGAAATATTCTACGTCCACACACACGAACAAATATTCAAACTCCACACAACATAGAAAATATTCTGTCCACAAAACATAAGAAATAGTCGACATCCACATACAGCAATAAAGAGTCTCAGTTCACATAGGAGGAAAATATTCAAAGTCCACACAGGATATAAGAAATATACGTAGTTCACAATATACGAATTATTACAAGTCCACATACATTGAAAATATTCAAAGTCCACAGGATAACACATGTACTAAGTCAACAACATATACATATTCCAAATCCACACAGGATAACACATACAAAGTAAACAAGATTACAAATTATTCTACGTCCACATTTGATGAAAAACTTTCAAAGTCAACACAAAATATAAATATTACAAGTCCACATAGATGAAATTATTCAAAGTCCACAAACCACAACAAATTTTCTACATCCACACACATGAAGAAATATTAAAATTCCACACAGGATAAAAAAACATTTCTACATTCAAAAAAGAAGAACATTTTCCTATATTCACATACATTGAACAATATTCTAAGTCAACAAGATAGAAATAATTCCAAGTCCACAAAGGATAAATAATATTCACACTCAACATAGGATACACATATTCTAAGTCCACACAAGTTATACAAATTATAAGTAAGTCAATTTAAGGCAACAACTATTCAAAAACCACATACATTAAAACAATTTCCAAGTCCACAAAGGATGACAACTATTCTATTTGTTCCAAATCCACAACATTTTACAACTCAACAAAACATAACAAATATTCAAAGTCCACAAAGTTTATCAATTATTTCAAGTCCATAAATTATTCACATTTCAATTATATAATATTATATTTAAACACACAATCTACACAACTTATTTCCTTTATCAACCTATACAACTAAAATGTTACAAGTCATTCAAGATTACCTTCCAATATATTTAACACAGACATATCAACACAACTTATTCACTTTACCAAAGTCAACAACAAATAAATTCAAATGACTCAACATTAACTTACAATATATTTCTCAAACAATCAACAACTAACTACATTACCTTAAAACTCTCTTTTTTTACACATTGAAACTTTCTTATGAAAAATTTACCAAAGAAAACTATGCACAACTTATTTGCTCATCGACCTCATCAACTTGCAATATATTTAACAGAGAATTATACACACAACATTACCTACAATAAATACATTCAAACTCCACACATGACTCAACATTAACTTACAATATATCTCACAACTTATTCAACATCAACATTACAACAAACAAACACCAAAACAATCTAACTCCACAAATGAATCGACATTAACAATATATCTCACACAAAAATCCCCACGCGACTTATTCCGCCTCGACAATTACGAGTCCGCAATTAACTCCGCGTTCGCTCCCGTGCGATATATTTACCCACGAAATATCCGCACACATTATTCGACCCCGACAAAACAATTACTGTATAGGTCCACAATTAACTCAAATTGAACTTACAATATATCTCACAAACACATATCAACACAACTTATTCAATACCTACAACAACAAAATTGCAACTCCACAAATAATTCAAAATTAACTTGGAATACATTTACAAAAGAAAAATCCACACAACTTAGTCCCTTTATAAAACTCGTAAACATTACCTACAACTCGACATTAACTTAAGATTATATCACGCATTGCCAATGACGATATCCACTTATAAACTATTTCACGCCAAACATTTTCAAACCTCATTCAAACATTTATAGTGGAATTATTTATAACAATATCTCAGATCACTTCCCAGTTTTTGCCATGTATAAAACAGCCACAAGACCTGAAACGTCTAGTGGAGTCTCAATCCAATACAGAGACTACCGCACCGACAACGTGCTCCTTTTTGAAAACGACCTAATGAATGCTAACCGGGATCTCGTCTCTGCCTTCGACGACCCTGACGTGAACGGCCGTAACTTCTCTTGCATCTTCGGTGCTTGCTTTGATAAATGCTTCCCACTCAAAACTAAGTCGGTGAAAACTATATACATTTCCAAACCCTATATCACAAGCAAAATTAAGATAATGATAAAAGAAAAACACAAACTCCAAAGGAAATTTGCAAAAAGACCCATAACTTTCCGCGATGCTTCCCGAAGTATCAGAAATAGAGTAACTCGAGCGGTTAGAAATGCCAGACGTAACTATTATACAAATGAGCTCCAGTCGGCATAAGGCGACGGTAAGACGACCTGGAATGTCATAAATTGTATTCGGAACGGGAAAGCTCGGCCTTCGGCCCCCCACTCGGCTTTTGTGATGGATGTTTCGGTTGTAACGGAACCCTCCCCCCATTGCCAACTGCTTCCATGAATATTTTATTAATGTTGGCAAAAATCTTACAGAGAGCATCCCCGATCACCACGAGGAATTTAGAGCCGACCTGCAAAACAGACAGCAAAATGAGCTGTTCTTATCCCCTGTCACAGCAGATGAATTACTGGCCATCATAAAAATGTCCAAAGATGCAGCAGCAGGCGAAGACAATATACCAATGAGCATCATTAAGAAAGTAGCCCACTTATTACTACCTGTTCTCCTACACATTTGTAACTCCTCCTTCACTAGTGGTGTCTTTCCTGATAAACTGAAAATTGCTAAAGTTCACCCAGCATATCAAAAACAACTGGGAACAAGGGTCTCTTCAAGAATTACAGCCCCATATCAGTCCTCCCAGCCTTGAGTGAGATACTGGAAAAGCTAGCATGTAATACACTAAATTCCTTCTGCAATGCCAATAACATCTTTACAGTTTGGATTTAGAGCTAGACAGTCGACTGAGAGTGCTCTGCTATCCTATACTGATGACATCTTAAATTCCTTTGATGACAGTCAGAATATTCTTGGACCTCTCTAAAGCCTTAGACACTGTCGACCAAACCATCCTCCTTTCAAAGCTTGAACATTATGCCATTAGGGGCCTGTCCCACAATTGGTTTACCTCATATCTGTTCAACACGATACAGTATATCTGCTATAATAACCACCAATCTGACTCATCGCCAATCTTGTATGGAGTCCCCCAAGGTTCCATTCTCAGTCCGGTACTATTTTTTGTTGTACATAAACGATATAGTCCACGCCAGCTCACTCCTAAAATACAACTTATTTGCAGATGATAGTAATCTCAATGCCAGCAACTCGGACCTCCATTCCTCGACGACAACTACGAACCCTGAATTA